GTCTATCCATAAATGAACTTGTGTACATTCACATGAAAGCGGGGGTATTACTATTGAGCATTGGCTCAAAGACTTCTTTTTTTTTTTATCAGGGAGACTTGTTTGGAAATGTAACTTAACTGTATTGAGTAGGTCGGAAAAAAAAGTCCCTATCCTATGAACGATAACACCAATTAGATGTACTTTTAACTTCCACATCGTAGATGTGAACCTGATGAAATGGACGAAATGGGGTAGGGAAGTCTTGCTTTCATCCATTCCGTCGATAATTAGCGATAAATATCTGTTTGGAAACATTTTGGCCTTTTGTCGGTGCTAATAATATTTCTGTCTCTCTATGCTATAAATATACAAAAATATTAACAACGGAAAGATTTGTTTTTAAATGAAATTTTGTGAAAGCTTCATTAATTCATACAGCTCTTCCAACTTACTTGTGCTTTTTTAAGATGTCTCTTTTCTTCATGAGCATCATTCTTCCTCGTAAATCTCTGGTTACCCCAAGTTTAATTTTGATCTCGGTACACACATTGCATTTTGGAAATCGGTTGTTCTAAAACAAAGCAAAAAATCAGAAATTTATATTATTTCAAAAATCAAAAACTACATTATACATCTTCATCACAGAATTCAAAATCCAAGTCTTTGGTATGGCAATATATGAAGCTTCTCTTCACTACAAACTAAGGAAATGGCTCAGTGACACTGGTGACATCTCCCTGTGATTCCCCAACCATCAAGTCGTATATATGGAGTTTTGTGGAGCAAGGGTGTAAATGAATTTGATGGCTGTTTGGGAGCTGTTCTCTCTAGTTTTGGGCATACAGCTTCAGCCAACCAATAGCCTTCCGTTTGTAATTTGTAACGCTTTTCTGGTTTTCTGCAATACATAAATTTTAATTTCTCTTGTCGAATTTCCACAAATACATATACATTGTAACTACAAAGCGAATAAGAATACAAATACTTCTCACTCAAAACCCCGCACTTCGTAAAAGGATGAATAAGGTATCCCCAACATAGCTCTAAATGCGGCACACCAAACGCTGGTTGTCCCCAGGATGAAGATAAAACCCCAGGACTAAGATTGCTCATCAAATCTATTAAATGAACATGAGGAAAATGATTACATATTACATTTATTATTATACTAGAGATTAATAATTGTATTAAAATTGTATCTAAAATAAACATTTCACCCTTCTGAGAATGGCTCCATAAATAGTCAAGTGGCCGCTGGCGTCTCTCTAGGCTGCTCATTGCCTGGAAATTTTCCCTGAATGAGATCAAAACCAACCAATGCAGAGTACTGAGTAGCACATTACCCCAAAACTTAGGATATCGGTAAAATTTTGGATTTTCTCTTGCTTAAAATAGAAACGCATATATAGAGGATAATGTTTTGTAGACGAATATGGAATATATTTCACGAATGGGACAAAAATAATCCCAATTAGTCTATTTACCTGACATGTCACTCCGTTGATCTGAATGATCGTCCATGAGTTTCTTCGAACTCCTTCGCAGTTCACATTGGAGTGGAGGACAACGAATCTCTGGAGATAATGAAACTTTATTATATCGACAGCCCCTCTCAGTCTATCGATGATGGCGATGGTTGTAGTCTGGTAGTTGCCCTCTTCAAACTCCTCAAAGTCCCTAAATGAACTGTTCCTGCGTTAATCTTACGTGCGCCAAAAAAAACACATTTTTTGGTTAATTAGTTAACGTCCCTCTCGAGAATTTTTCACTCAGATGGAGACGCCACCACTTGCCGGTGGAGAGCTACAAAATTTGACCTATACTCGGCACTCGGAGCCATTGAGCAGTGAGGGGTCTTTTTTTGTCCCAGCACCTTCTGCGACACGGGACCTTGGTTTACACGGTCTCATCCGAAGGACCGGTCTCCACGTATATGCCTTAACCCAAGGATAGCCCATGAAAGCCAGTGTGGCTTATTTCCAATGCAGCCCTTTTAGTAACTTATACATTACTGCCATTATGACACACACAATGTACTTACTATGAACAAGATGACATAAGATTGCAAACTTAAACATATGAGAAAGCATGTAAATTTGAAATAATTTAGCAAAAAGTAGTAAATAATTGGTTAGAAAAGAAAAGTTCGGTAACATCTGAAATAGTATAAAATTTCATCTTAAGACATTTTCTGAAATATTTTCATAACCTGTTCTTACAGTCTGACCCCAGATTTTGTTTAATCTTTTTAAACTGAAAAAAGAAATTTTTCTTATCAAATAATTTTAAATTTTTTGTTTTATCTTATGTATAGATTTATTCAAGAAAATAATTACAATGTTAAAGCTAAGCATACGTTGTATTATATCTTTGGTAGCGGCAGAAATCTTGATATTCTACGGACATATGGACATCAGTCTTTGGTAGCGGCAGTAAATCTTGATATTCTACAGACATATGGACATCAGTCCTTGGTAGCGGCAGTAAATCTTGATATTCTACAGACATATGGACATCAGTCTTAGATTGAGTGCAAATGACTCTTAGTGATATGTTGGTTGTCTTTTCTGTTGCTTTTAATATTATACATTTAAAAAATACTTATACCTATCTGAAAAATAGCTTTGTTCTTCTTTGATATTTTTTTATTGTCTTGGTAGATTTGAAACAAAAATACCTATGTGCTTTCTCGTTATTTCTGCCTGTGGTCTTGACAGACTAAAAACTTATTTTCTTCTCTAAAAATGTAATAACAGTTGTGGGGTATTACAATATCAAAAAACACTAATTAATGTTACTTTCTTCTGAATGTTTATCATTAACAAAACATTATATTTGTTTTTACCCAAGCCCTACTGGGGCTTGAGTTATCTAAAACGATGCTTGGTCATCGATTTACTCAGTTTATAAACACGAAAACATATGATTTGTGTAATTATTTAACATTTCTAGAAACAAAAAAAACTTATCTTGAAAATATATGTATACTCAGAGATTATATTCCATGACGGAGCAATAATGAGCGATACTCCGCAGCCGCAACAGTTTCTATACAGAAATTCATTTCGCGCTTGCAAAACATTTGCGTAGGAATCTCAGATAAATTTTAGAACGACCGTTATTGCATCCATAGACGAGTTCTTTGCATGGTTACTCAGAAAGATGGCACAGATTAACCTCTCGTTAACATTTCTCCAACGAACTGCATAAATGTTTTATTCTGTCCACAATAGACAAAGGTTTTGTTTTAATTCGGGCTATTTTCGATAACGCATGACAACGGCTAGGACTTGACTTTGTATGGAAGATATTATTATATATTATCATTGGAATCATAAATGATACACATGTAGCACAGGTCTGTTATACATGGGATTTTTACGGAGGTTGCTCAAGTTCACTTTAGCATTAGTTTTAGAGGAATTTATCAATAAACCTTGGTACCTCAACAAGAAAGATTTGACATCTGCTGTACTCCAAAAAGATGGAAAATAGTTTTTCCCCCAAGACTAATGCTTTCAATATAGTCTTTTCTCGGGGAGTTAGCACCCTGGAACAATACCTGCTCGATACGACACATACAACTTATTTAACTTTTCTTGTCGTCTGTCCTACAATAAATAATAGGATATAACATATTATTGTTAATTCTAAACATCAATAAACATTTAAAAAAATTATGAAAATATACAAGACAACTTTTCACATATATGCAAACTATTTACATTTGTCAGTATAACAACAACTTTTTCTTTCACTTAATACTTCATAACTTCCAAACATGAATTCTTTACTACATTGGCATAGTGTGGGGAAAAGAAAGAAAACTAATATATACATAATTATTTGTCAAACAATGCAAGGTCCATAGTTGGTCATATGTATAATAAGGAAATCAGTATGGTACCAGGTCTAGTACATTACACCAGATTTACCCCAACCATTCGTACAAGAAAATAGATTGTAAATTTATTTATTTAAAGATCACACTGGTCACTGTGACCTTTAATTTAAGTGAAATTAAAAAAAAAAACTTTCTTTCAACTTTTCAATTACGCAATCCCAAAAGATGTCAGAGTATTGCAGTATCTTTATTAAAAAAGTGTTAAATCAAGAAAATACTTATTTTTTTCATCGTGTACTTTACAGCAATCTCTCTAACAAGAAAAATTCCACCTCTCCCATGGGTGTATTTATCAAGCATTGATCAAGGAAAATTTTGATAGCAGAAAATTGCATGTCAAATTAAATTTTTTGTTTGTATGACTGTTGTTTAACTTCCCTCGTGAGAATTTTTCACTCATATGGAGACGCCACCTCTTGCCGGTGGAGAGCTGAAAATTTTGTCCTATACTCGGCACTTGCGGCCTTTTAACAGTGAGGGATCTTTTTCGTGCCAGCACTTCCTGCGACACGGGGCCTCGGTTTATATAGGACCGGTCTCCAGGTCCCACAGTGGGATTCGAACCCGCGACGTAAGGATCAACTCCTTCCTTACTTTGCGACTCTAGAGCAGACGCTCTAACCACTGCCCCACGCGGGCGACTCAAAGTAGAGAGAAATTAATGTGTTTAGTGTGAGGATATAACTGGTAGAGCATCTCTGATCAAGCAGGTGTTATCTACATCTCTTGGGAATTGGACAAGGAAATCAGCCTCTTTTTTAATTGCCTGTGTTATGTTAAATTGTTCTTGTTGACTAGTCTACTTTCAAGATAAATTTGACGTATAAAAGTAGTTAAAACTAATTTGATATTGTATATTATAATTAAAACTTATTTTATATTGTATAATAGAATTAATTAAATGATTGGTAACCAATCATAAAATATACAATAAACAAAGCTGCAGATGATGGGCCTTTCAGCTCTAACACAACCAGTTGAGAAATATATGATGTATTATTTGTTATAATTAATACCTACACCACAGGAGATGTATGTTTATCAAATATTTTAAGGAATGGAAAAATCATTGAAATCTTTGAATCAAGATTAGTAGGCTAATTGTATTCGGCGCGCTCGCGCAACAGATTTTGTTAATAAAATTTATCGCTTATGCTATTTTCTTGGCATCGGGCTCGACATTCAACGCACTATTCCTCTTGAAAAATGGCTGAAGCCGCCTCGTGGTAAGTTTTGTTTTTGTATTCTTGTATGTATACGTAGGTTCGAATTATAGTTTACTAGGTTTATCTTTATAAAATTATAATATATTATAAAATTGTTCTTATAAACAATGGGAAGCCTGATGAGAAATATTTAGTGATGTTCAATACTTCAGCTTCATTAAGTTTTAACTAGAATTTCCTCGACACCACGTGCAAAATTTTATTAAACATGCAACTTCAAAGCTGTTAGTTATACCTGGTAAGTTGTAAGAGTTTTGAAAGAAGTTTGGCCTGACGTTTGTCCTTTTCAAACATACTTGAAGTAGCTGCAGATCTGTAGCGTTATGGATTTATATATTTGTCTAAAATTGTCTTTGACCATAACGCTACAGATCCCGTAATGCTAATAAGGTGCAATTTACGGCGCCCCCGGCGTAATATTTTTGCGCAGTTTTGGGGAGAATTTCTCAACTATCCAGCATTAGTCAATTAATGCTTTTCACTCCCTAATTCTAGGCACATTATTGAACTATTAATCTGTATATTTTACTCATCTACTTAACTTGTATAATTGTCTCTACAAGTGATAAACTCACTTGATTAAAATGATTTGATAGATTGCTGAAAATCCACTTTAAGCAAGTTTATTGCCTGTAGAGACAACTATAAATGATTGGAAGGTGAATAAAATATACATATTGGATACAGAATGTGTCTAGAATTAGGGAGTAAAAGATCGTTGATTGACCAGTGCTAGAAAGTGGAGAAATTCTCCCCTAAAGTGCTGAAAATTATTGCTCTGTTAATTGCACCTTTTTGCATTACAGGTTCTGTTATGGTCAAAGACAAATATATAAAACCATAACGCTACAGATCTGCAGCTAACTTTTATGCAGCATACAGTATGTACAAGGTTCTCACCTTGTGTCTTGCTAACCTGAGAAAAGACACAATGCAATGACCAAAATGGTACATGTATACTGGTATATAAAAAGAACATGCATATATTATATACTAGTAAGAAAACTAAATGAATAACATATTATTTTAGGATAGATTTGGTAAGTATTGTTGTAGTTGATATGTTTATATTATTTCTTGTTCCTCTTTCTTGTTCAAGTTTATAAATTATTGTTTTTGTTTTCTGGAGAGTAGTCCAAAATATTGACTTATGTCACATTTTATCCAAATTTTAATTGAAATAATTCATTTATATAAAAAAAAATCTCAGATTTATGGAAACAAGTGGTAAGATTAATGATGAAATAACTGAAATCCATTCAGTTAATTTTATTAGAAATAATCGTCAAACTTGCCATTGATAAAAAAGTATATATTTTGAAAATTTTGTTTTTTCCTCCTACTACTATCTAAATGACACTTTTAATGTTGAATATGAGGCTTATGAAAAACAAGTTGGGTAAAATTGAGTAAATTATTATTATTTCAGTAGAGAAAGACTGGAGTATTATGAACAAAATAATATGTAATCAATGCAAGTCCTACACATTACCTTGACTTAAAACTTGGTATTCTTTATTTGTTGTATTATATAACATGCTATTTAATATTTCAGTGTGACGACAGCGATTCAGAGGAGAGTAGCCATGCTACCCTTTTTGTAAGTTTTTAGATTTGCCTACTTAAAACTTCTCAATTTTATATAAATCTGTTTATAATTATTACCACAATAATAAGAGTAAATGATATTAGTAGACATGTATATATGGAACATGTATAAGTAATTATAATGATCGTATTTCAGAATGCAGATGTCTCCAGGAAAGAAAATGTAGCATCCAGTCCTGACAGTCTAGACCTACCAGACCCAGCTTATGATGCAGAAGAGTAATTTCATATATATATATTTTTTAAATTATTCCAATGCTACGAGTAAAACTCTAAGCATCTTTAATATGGCCAAGTTTGTGAATTATATATATTTGTAAATAGTCAGAATTTTATCATAATCAGCATTTTAGCTCATCTGAACTGAAAGCTTAAGTAAGCTTTTCTGTCTGATCATTTTTTGTCTGGCGTCAATTTTTGTGTGTACAAATTTTCATTGAGTTTTCTCAGCAACTACTCTTCAGAGGTGCTTGAAATTTCATCATAGTCTTTGTTTTGGCATGCCATATGGTAGGATTATTTCTGTGCAAATCTGATGTAAAATTCCTGTTTATCTGTGTGTCTGTCAACTGTTTTACTCAAGTGAAAATAATCATAGTTTGAACAATGTTTCTTAAACTTATCTTGTTTATTCATACTAGACATGTATTCACATCAGAGCGATGTTATCTTCTTCTGCAAAAGAAAAATTGATCAGAAAAGCTGTAGATTATGTGAAAGAATTCTCAGTAGGATAGATTCAAGTTTGTCAAAATATACATCTTCAAAGGCAGATAGGGTTGGGCTCCATTTGGCATCCAAATTAACATTTAAAAATTTCAAATGTAAAAATAACATATATGCAAGCATCTAGACAAATTGTTGATTTCTTAGGCTTATTGTTAAGAGTATAGTCTCTTAAAATTGTTTGGGGCTGAACAAGGGGTTCAAAGGTATATATACCGTGGTAGATAAACAATTTTACAAGATCTTCTTCAGAACTGCAATGCTTAATAGCTCAAAATGTTATATGACTGCGATATTATCCAAATACAAAATGGGCTCAATATATAGCATAAAAATATCTTCATAAAAATATTGAAAATCTTTTTAAGGATTCATTTACCAAAATCTAATTAGACTTAGATGTAAAATCCTCCCGCATACTCGCTACACTAACATTTAACATCCCATAGAGGGTCACGTCAGAGGTCAAATTGCGAAAATCTATAGACTTTTTAGCTTCAGTAAATATAACAATGATTTTGCAGGCAACAATTTGATTGGTTAATAGAATTTGACCCCTGACGTGACCCACAATGGGATGTTGTTAGATGTTAGTGTAGCTAGTGTGCAAATGGATCTGCCTCTAATTTTAAAAAGACTGCCTTTACTAAATTGTGTACATATTTTGTATACGACTCCATAAAACCTATTTGAGTATTTCTTTTGTTGCTCAGGTGAGTGATGTGGCTCATTGGAAATTTGTTTTATTAGGTACCTTAATTTCTAAAATAATAATGAAATGTTGAAGAATTTCATTCCTCTTTTCAATACTGTACTTGCAGTTGTATAATGTATTTTTCAATTCTTTTTTACATCATTTATATTTTTTTCAAGGGATGACCTTCCTAAATTGGTAAAACGCAAGTTAAAGAAAAAAGGAGTGAAAGAGAGTCCTAACGAAAAAAAATGGAAAGAAAAAACAGGAGGAGAATTTGTTGGGAGTGCAAAAAGGATCATTTGTCTGGATGAAGAGGATGATGTCAGAGAGTTTTCGGAGGAAACAGCAGAAACTGAAGTTGAGACCATTAGTCTTGATGAACATGATAAAGAGCAAACTGTTGGAGAGTTTTCTGAGATATATGGGCCTTTGTCATCTGATGAAGAAGAAAATGTAACAGAATTCTCTAAAGACTTTCCAATTTTCTCAAGAAAAATTGGTGGATATGGAGCTGCAGAAATCATCGATGTTCTGATGAAAGTAGATAACCATACTCAATATGTATGTCCAACTGTTCCTTTACAGTGTGAAGAGAATGCCACTTTCTTAGTTGATACTGATAAACTGAGAAAATTTTCAGATCTGACTGTGGATGACAATGGGCTCTGGAAAAGGCCATCAGGATCAAAGTTGTACCTTACAAAGACAGAACGAGGTTATAAGTCCAGCAGACAGATTACTCAATCATATGATTTTCAGCTCAGGAAAAGCTACTATGTCCATGCTGGGACTCCAGATTTCCACAAAATTGTCTACACTATAAGAAACTCAGAAGGACACAACCTCAGACATGCAATTATACAGTATTATTTCCAAGATGGAAAAGTTGTTCCTGTCTTAAAAAATGTTCCACATGGAAATTCTAAGAAAGAAAATCCTTTCATTAGAACAAAACCAAGTGCAATTGCAGAAATGAAGAACAAATCTGTTTATATGCAGCCCAAGAAAGTTGTTGCAGATTTGTTCAATGAGGAAGGAGGATCGTTGAACTTCAAATCACCATCAGATATACCTAGAGACAGAACTCAAATTTACAACATTAACAGAAGCAACCCTAGGAAATACCAGACTGGTGGAAAATGTACTACTAATTTTGATGCCATTATCAAGATGTCTGTTGAGGGCAATTTTGCTCGAAGTTTTGAAATGAAAGAAAATGGTCATGCCAGGTGCTTCCTTGCAACAGATCAGCAACTCCTTGATGTGAAAAAATTTTGCTGCAATTCAGATTCCATTTTAGGCATAGATCCAACATTTGATCTTGGAGGATTTTACCTTACATGTACCACTTACAGACACCTTATGTTTGTCATCAGAGACAGTGGCAGACACCCTCTTTTACTCGGTCCATGTATGATGCATCTTAAACGAGAAACCAGTGACTATGAATACTTCGGCAAAACACTCTCTGGATATATTAAAGATGACGTTGTAAATGTATGGGGATCAGATGGAGAAAAAGCCCTCATAAATGGCCTTCAAAAAAGTAACGCTTTTCAAGGAATCCATCTAATTTGTGAGATACATGCCCGAGACAACTGTGAAAGAAAGCTTAAGTCATTAAACTTTAAAGAACCTCACATAAATTTATTCTTGAATGAGATATATGGACAGCAGCATGGGAACAAACGCATTGGAGGGCTCATTGACTGTGAAACAGAGTCTGATTTTGATTCATCCCTCATCAATTTGGGCAGGAAGTGGGATGCAATTGAAGTTACCGAAACTGGAAGAAAACCCCCTGAGTTTTTTACTTGGTTCAAGAAATTCAAAGCCGAAGAGTGTAAAAGAAATCTTTTAAAACCAATAAGAACAGCTGCAGGGCTAGGATATCCTCCTATAAGATATACAAACAACAACAACGAGTCAATTAATAATGTGCTGAAGCGTGAAGTTGACTATAAAAAACAGTTCTGGGAGAACATGGCGGTGTCTCTACAAAACATTATCCACACGCAGTATCAAGAATTGGAGAAAGGAGTGTTCAACGTTGGGGAATATAGGCTGCATAATGATTATAATCATCTCTCTGTATCAACACTTAACTGGTCTCAGTTAAACAAAGACCAAAAACAGGACAAGCTTGCCAAAGTATTCAGGTATAATGCAGAATTTACTGAACTGCCAACTCACCATATACCTTCAGTCCTTTTCGAAACATACAATGCCCTGACTGGTACGATCTACAAAGCTCATGACCTAAGAGATGTCTGGAGAAAAGCAGGTCTTCTTGCAGGTGACAAGTCCATATTCACTAAACTTTCATCAAACAAAACATGTATAGACTGTAGTGAAAATGTGTACATTGTAGAGGGAAATGAAGAAATGGATTGGTTTACATGTACTTGCACTGGGAGTCACAAATGTCAGAACTTTGATAAGTTTGGAGTATTCTGTGAACACACTATTGCAGCAAGTGAATTCCGGGGAACTTTGCAAAAGTATATACAAGAAATTAAAAAGTGTTCTGAAAAAGTGTCTCTTGATGCCCTGCTTGAGAAACATACCAAGAAATCTGGGAAAAAAAGGTCCAGAAAGGGAAAAAATGATCCCCATACCAGACCTGTGATTACATCATCAGTTTCACTTTTCACTGAACCTTTCCACAATGAGGATGAATTTGAAGTAAATTTCCTAAAGGGTGAAAAAAGAGCCAAAAGATGTGCTGCATGTGGTGTAGATTTTCCAACATCTGTAGTAGTTCAACCATTTGATCTTGTAATGCAGCATCCAGAGCGATACCTATATCCACAGAAAAACCAAGGTGAAACTGAATGGGTGTACACGGCTCAAAAAAAGAGAGCCACATTCTATCACTGCGCGCCAGAGTGCATTCTAAAGCGACATCCCCATTTCACAATTGATAAAATAAAGATTCCTGAAAATATTAGATCTAAACTGAAGCCATGCCAGATAAAAATGCTCCAGTCTCATTTTAACATGGATTTGTAAGGCGCACTGTAATCAACTAAAAATGTTGTTCTGTATATAATGTTCTGATTTACTTTTAATTGAAAATGCTTTTCTTTGTTATAGAATTCTTGTTTTATTAGTAATTCAGAAGGACACAAGATTGATATGTTTTACTCTTGCAGTTTTATTTCTTGTGACAAGACTGTCTTTTATTTCTTGTGACAAGACTGTCTTTGGGAATGGGTACTATGAACTAAGAATCTAGTCAATCTAATATAAACTTATATTTTTGCTCAAAACAAAGTTATCTTTGTATTTTTTGTTCTCTTTGTTTGGATAAGATTTTTGTGCTTTTTTTTCTTTTTTGACAATGTTTGGTTTATCATAAATAAAAGAGAAAGTTTCATAAATGGAGTATGCTTTTGAAGTTTCAACATCATTGTTTAAGTGCCTGTGGGCTTTTTTTTTATTCGTGGCCACTAATTAATAATACACTGGTTTTATCAATTTTCATTGGCATCAATTTTTGTGCTATCAGCAAATGATTCAGTATTTAGATCATCATAAAACTTTTGATATGCTTCTTACTTTAATGAACATCTAATTCTACTTTAATTTTCACTCTGCAAAACACAAAAATTAATGTTAAAGGAATGTTGATGGAACCATTGTACATGTATTTTGAATGATCGGATTTTTAATGACAGAGATGAGTGGTTGAGAAGACTACAATACAGGGGCTAACAAATAGATCTTTAGGGCACTTTTCCAAGGGCAAGTACATATGGTAAAAATTCACTTGCCCTACCTAATTTGTTGCCTTACCATAAACTAATACTGTATTTATAAATATTTCAAAATAGGAAGACAAATACTAAGTAGATCATGTAGGCCCATATGCCCAGCTTCAAATCTACGGCTTACATATTTGATTTTATTTTTGATATGTCACTTGCCCACAGGCGAGTGGTTGATAAAATTTCACTTGTCCACCCTAAAATTCACTAGCCCTTGTTGTCGGGCAGTGGGATTTGTCATCCACTGCAATATGGGGAGGCAGACCTGTATACTGGCACATGATCGGCAGTGCAAATGACCTAATAAAGTCGACAGGCCAGCCATTTCTGTAACTAAAGCCCCCCCCCCCTCTTCAAATAAAGACGTTAATTTTAGTAATAGAATTATCTAATATGTAACAAGGAATCTTTGTCAAACATTGATACCAATGTATTGCAGCTTATTGCCGTAATAAATTAAGTCTCTTAAAAAGGAGGTTAAACTCGAGAGTTTAGGGTCTTTATGTAATACCAGTAAACTTTTGTCTTACATAAAGAAATTTATAAAAACCAAAGCACTAAATATTTTTTAAATGCTATTAATGTTTGGAGATATATATATAGAGAGAGAGAGAGAGAGAGATAAATTGAAAGTAAGTAAATATTTATGGATCCACCCAACAAAAAATACAATCGGGTTCGGGCTGTCGACTTGAGTATAAGCGATAATGCTTAAATAAAGAAAATCCAGGTCATTTGAGTGTTTTAATACAGGGAGAAAATACTTATGTGATATTGGGACGAGATTGACGCGCTGGTGCGCCGACGCGCCGAATACAATTAGCCGATTAGTATAATTTTCTTGCACTCTGATCTGTTTATGATTATATTAGTTAACAATATTTGACGGGCGTATCATGCTGTGACAAGGCACTTTATTAATAACTCCTACACTGAAGAAAAGAAAGACAATTACATAAAACGTTCGTCTTAGTTCGTAATGTATCTTTTATACAATATTTTATCAAGCTGATAAAACATTTATTTCTTTAAGTCACACTTTTTTGTGAACTTGCGATAATTTTTACTCATTGCAAACTTGTAAAAATCCCACGAATCTGGAAATTCTTTGGGTACGCCAGATCCCTCACATTATATAAAAAACAGAAGGAAGATAAAGGCACTTTTGACATCTTTGAATTCTTCCAGCAACGATGAAGGTATCGCACATCCCTCACTTGCACCTTGCACTAATATTGGTCTTTGGGGTCATCTGGCTTGATTGTAATGGACTTCATTTCAGTAGGCTTTGCATAGTACAAAGGAAAAGCATCACTGTTATAAAAAAGTATTATCCAGCATAATGTATTTATTCCACATTCTGATGTTCCCATTCTTTGTGTTAGTAAATCAAATTCAACCTTCATGAGCATCATTAGATGATTCTTCCAAGAGATTAATTTGTAAAAGAATGAGATTTTCAATTGTTTCAAATGCTGCATAAGGACACTAACATCCCCTTACTTTAAATTATTTCATGTATACCGTCATCAAAATTAATGCTAACTAGATATCATTGAGATGGTGGCCATCTCAAAGGGCCCCGCTTTCAGCAACGAACATGAAAATGTAAGGTAACTAAAAAGTGTTTATTTTGAAGAGGAACATTTGTGTACTATTAAGGGATGTGTTGTTCGATTCTAAAGGGGACAAAAAGTAACTACTCTCTGAAAAAATGACAAAATAACAAAAACTTTCAGAAAAGTATTTGTATGATGAAAAGGAATATAAATATCTATGAAAATCACAAATGTTCCGTACCCTAAGTCAATTGATCAGTTTGAGGCTGACTGGACTTAAGGGAAAGAAATTATGCAGCGAACAAGGATTTTAAACAGAGAGGCTATTTTTGACCTTGACCCTTGACCTAGAAATTTCGTTCAAGGTCACTGCACATCCATTGACCAGTGGCACTCTGTGAGTGAAGTATGAGCCACATTGGGTCAAGGGGAGAGAAGATATGCTTCGGACAAGGATTTTTCAAATAATTCTGCTATGACCTTAACCTTAGACCTAGAGACATGGTTCAAGGTCACTGCACACCCTTTGCCCAAAGACACTCTGTGGGTGAAGTATGAGCCAGATCAGGCCAAGGGGAGAGAAGATATGCTAAGGACAAGAGATCTCGCACGGACAGACAGACCGACAGACTGATCACTATAGGGTGACCCCAGAACGGGGCCCTATTAATCAATTAATGTAAATAACTTTCTGGTGCTGTATTTAAGGAATTAATAGCGATTCTCTGTAACCACTTAAACTCCTTTGCCACGCATGGTCACCGATTTATATGAAACTTTGCCCATTATTACAACTTGACACCAGAAACATATATCAAATAAAATTTCGTTGCTATGTGTCTTGGTTGCCATGGTAACAGGCAGAAGAGTTGATAAAATTGAGATTTTCAGCTACTTTGAATCTTTATTACGCCTTATTAAAGACTAAGAAAATCAAACAAACCGTTCTCCCAAAAACATGACACCTTTTTACCACTTATGCTAGAAAGAAACTATTTAGAATTTATCTCTTAGTAAGTGGTAACCATGGGTGCATATGGAATACATTTTAGATGCTGAAAAATGCTGAAAAACGCTCAATATTCACAAATGAAAATGATAGATGTTACATGATCAAACTCAATCAACAACCAAAGGAAAACAATAAAAAATATTTGACCTTAAGTAATTAGGTATTGGCAATATTATTCTAAAAATAACTTTCATGCAAAATCTGTTGCTAGGATTGGGTTAATGCTACTTTCTTGTGGAAAAACAATAAAATTAATGACTGGCACTTATGCATCCTTAACCTTGCAACACCGACAACATAAGAAAATTTGGATTAATTGTTACTTTGCAGTGTAACCATGAAAGCATCTTACCAGTTGTTTAAAGTGATATTTTATTGCTGCTCTAGGAACTTATTTACCTTTTAATCAAGAAATATATTATTATACTCACCTTGAATAGTGCTAATCTGGTAGTACTAAAGTTGAATATCACATAATAATTTAATTTTGTTTGTATTCTAACTTCTGATTGGTTAATATCCAAAAAGGAACACAAATTATTTCTGTATAACCTGGTTTGGTATGGGGACACAACCCCCTGACAACCAGCTGAATCGTCTGTATCCATGCAATCCTCTCATTTCCAGTCCTCGGGATTCATGGAAAATTCCAGATTTAATAAATGTACCTTTAACTTAATAATAATTCGATCTTACCACATGTAAACAAACAACAAGGCTGCCGCTAAGCCTAGGCATCAGTTTTTACCTCCCCTCGCTTCCCATCACTTCCGTTACTACGGTTGTATTATTGAGCGGCAAATTTGAACTAATAAAAAGCAACGAAATTTTACACCCTTGGTTATCTAATGAATTTAAAATTAAATTATAAGGAATGACTCCATTCCTAAATTCATAAAGTTTGTTGAAAAATATATTGTTGCTATGGTTACCAAGAAGGGAAAATGTTCGACTTTTTAAATTTATATATTTTTTTATTTTATTAAACCCTTTGGGCCAGCTTTTTGCATCCAGATAGAGATTGGGTGGTAGTCAAATTTGAAAGTCAGGTTAGTTGTTCATATATATCAATCATAAAAGTTTTGGGAATTTACATGCAAGGGTACGCATCCAAGGAAACAGACTATATTTCAGATTTTTATGCATATTTTTTCGGCTAATTTCTATAGCAACGCACTATTTAAAGAATTGAAATTGAATCTTTTGATATGTGAAAATTAGGATCACACCAACGCCTTTAAAAATGGATCATCAGTTATATAGAAATATGCTTTTTAAAAAGATAGGATAAGATTAAAACACTAAGAGAGTAAACTTAAAATCCCTTCGTGGTATTAAAACCATGGTAACCATTGCCAACCTATAAGAAATATCATATTTTGTCCTTGGTGTATGTTACAAGGATCTCTTGTCTATTGTTTGCTTGCATTTCAACCTGTTATTGTTTCTATTCTTAAGTGTATGTAAAATTAAATAAACAAAATTATTACTTTTTAATACTTTGTTTCCATAGTAACGTATGTTATAGTTGATTTACCAAACATGTTTATCATGCATTTAAGACACCAGGCCTTCAACTTTCAGAAACAGTCATTTTCACTTGTTTGCTTTGCTGCAAACGTTAACCGTGGGACTCTAAACATGTTGAAAAATGCCATTTTTCAAACTTTAGGACATGTTGCTATGGTAACCATGACACGAAGCAACCAATTTCTGCCTGATTTGAGTTTACATTATCCAAGACTTTTATCGTAAATTGGAGAAATTCTGAGACTAAGCGTGCCGCAGCTCCTATATAAAAGTTCAAGTCATTACAGAGAATGGCTCTTAATTTGTTGTAGTTAAAGGCACTCGTTACAGAGATTTTCTCTTCCAAAAGATCTTTGAAAATTCGAAAAATGGCACTGTCTTTTGGGGTCCATACCATGAAGTCACAGACTGAACTTCCAGTAATGTAAAGTTGTCCCTGTACTTGGTTGTAGTTGGGATGCTTTTCTTTCAACTTGTACATAGGTTGACTGGAGAAAGGTTGAATCGCAGGCCGACGTTATGTTTCTATCTGGGCTAGCTCTCCAAGGACCCCAGTACTATGTAACAAGATACCTATTGAATATTAATTTAAATAACATAATATTCTAGCAATACTCTTGTACTTTGTTGTCTTTATTTGTACTTGAAAAAAACGGCCACCTGTGTAACCGGCCAGCGGCCACTCAAATCCTGGCCCATCTCGTTAATTACAATGTAATTGTCCAACGACGTGATATTTCACGATTTCATCAGCTGTGACGATAGTGGATTGTTTTGAAAACCGATTCCCTTGGGTATTAAAAACTGGTCAGTTTACCTGAACCTAGTGAACAGAATTGTGTTTTAATTAAATATTTTGTACTCTGTTATCATTGTTTGTATTTATACTTATAGTTGAAATGGTCTCGCCGAATGTTAAAAGGGAAGTTTTAACTTTGTATGAAAAAATCAAAATAATTGATATGGATAAAAAATCAAAATAATTGATATGGATAAAAAAGTACATCTTCTCGCAAGATAACGGTAGAATGAAATGTTAGCAAGATTCAGATAAACAAGCTGAATATCTGGCTGAATATCTGGAGGATTTTGAAAATAATGTGGACCCAGAAAGAAAACGGCGACGACTTGTTACTGAAAATGAAGAAATAAATGGTTTATGCTGGGAGTGGTTTAAGAATGTGACATCTCGTAGAATAAATGTAAATAAATTCGAATAAATAAATCGAGAATACAATTATACAACCGCGAAATTTGTACCTACCCATTTGCGTTTCCTTTAATTTCAAATGTTCTCTCTTTTGATGCTGCCCTCATCCACTCCTCCAGGGAGGCAATAGTGTTGGTAACCGTATCAGTAGATATGTTGTTGTCCGAAAGAGTCACCAGTTATGCGACAGTTCCTGCTGCACAACCCTTGATGTTATGCTTCAATTTTTTAAGGCTGACAGAAACCAGGACTCTTCTTGACGCCTATTCGGCGTGTCTTCGTCTGTTGTTGAAAAAACAAGGTATCTTTGAAGTTCCTGTTGATTACGAATGCTCGAGAAGATGAATGCTATGCAAGATCTTTGGCCTTTACGCATGACTTCCAGTAATATGACGTGCAGCCATGGTCTTTATGGAATACTGATAAAGAAACATCATCAAAACGTTTATTAAAAGGTTATAACTACAAATATACGTGAATTGAAACTGTAAAAGAACA